CGAAGATGCATTCGGGTTCTCGCCAAGGACTTTGCGAGATGGTGTGGCCAGGAGCATCGTTTCCCTCGCCTCAGCTTCGTGCTTCTGCTTCGTCTCGCTCTCAATCAAATCTATCGCACGCCTGCAAATCTCGAACGCCTTACGCAAGTCTCCAGTCTGGCTCGAAACTTTGCGGGAGCAAAGCTCGACAGCGGCCGGGTGAATGAATGGAAGAGGGCTGCCTTGAGGTACGAGGCTTGCAAGACGCTTCGTGATGATGTTCTTGATCTGCGGCGCGGTGTACGGTAGGAATGGTAGCAGCTCAGGCTTGAGGTTTCTCGACTTGAGCCGAGGGAGGAAGCGGTCTGTGAGATCCAAGGCGTTCGCAATGCCGACAAGTGCGAGGCGCGAGGTCTTCTGCATAGACCATTCGAATAGGCGATAGAGGCTTTCGAGGTCCAGTGTAAGAATGTGATCGATCTCGTCCAACACCACCAAGAAGACATCTGTAGACTTTTGCCGGGGCATAATGAGCTTCTGCAGTGCTATCGCAGCATCAGAGTCTGAGACGTCTGCCGCTCCATCAGCCGTGATCTGCTCCAGCAAGGTCTCGTACAGGTCCTTGGATGACTTGATGCTCATGCAATTGATGTAGACCTTCTTTGCAGATGTTCCAGCGACGACTGTGTTGGTCATCTCGTTGACCATTGCACTCTTGCCTGTGCCTGGAGGTCCACTGACGTAGATACAGCCACTGGGATTCGGCTCCGCGCACCGATTAAGGAAGGCCTGCAGTTGTCCACGCTCATCGTCGCGACCAATCATCTGGCCAGGATCTGAGCTTCGGGAGAAAAGAAGTCGTGCTTGTGAGTAGACTGTCTGGATGCCTGATGGTGTTGAAGGTGTCTGTGGAGTTTGTCTCTTGATGATGCGGCTCGATGATATGACCCGATGGCGGGGGGTGACGGGCACTTTGACAAGAACATCCCGGAAGCGAGAGGTGCTGGGTGTGACTGGTGTGTATGGCGTGGTTGCCCGTGTTGTGGTACATGAAGCGTCCTCTGTGATTTCGGAGCAGCTAGTCTCATCTGTTGACTCGGCGGCTTCCTCTCTGATCGGGTCTATGTTCTCGTCGTTGATCATGGAGGCGCGACTGATGCGCTTCGATCGTTTCGTGGCTGGCAATGGCTCTGTTGGCAGGAAGGAACAGTCAGTCGTTGTTTCTGTAGTTGTGGAAGCGGCATGATGGGTCGTTCTTACGCAAGTCCTTGACAGCCAACGAGCTTCGTGTCCTCTTTCCAAGCACAGCAGTTGCCATCGTCGATTATGTTAATGTACAGAGAGAGAAGGTGATGATGGTTCGTGAAGCTTCGCAGTAGAAAAGTAGTGCAGTGTAGTGCAGTGAAGAAGAATATGCAGAATCAATAAACCAGAGTTGTGACAGTGAACGTTGTAAATGAGCAGGTGCAATGCACTGGGGCCGAGCTCTGGGAGGTTTAAAGCACCCGCCCTTGGCGTTCTTTGTCCGCGCCACTTTACGCGAGGAGATCGCGTCCTTTGTCGCGTTAAGGGTTGCAGGTGCACGGAAGGAGCGTGTCAAGGGAAGAGTGGGTCGCCCTGGCGCGCGCTTCGGAGCCGCACGCTCCCAAGATGGACCCCCCCATCGGCACTATCTATCGCACTGTGCGCCATGTCAACTGTCCAGGTGACCCTTGCCCGCCGATAACCTGGGGCCGAAGCCAGCGGCGACCTCCGGCGACACTGCGCGGCATGCACCGAAACCGCCGCACACTGATAGGAGTGGTCGTGCATCGCCACCAAGAATGGACTTTCTCCTGTAACTGAACATGGACCGGACTTTACACCTCGCACCATAATATGAAATGCTATGACCTCGTCACATGAGACTGCGGCTTTCCTCCGCACAGTCTGAACAACAGCCGCCTTCGCTGCCAAGGACAGAGCGAGGGGCACCCGGGATCATGGCCAACCACCAGGAGGCTTACAATAGCCGGATCGAAGAATTGCGGCCCAGGGAGTTTCCCATGCTTCAAGGTATGTTTCAAATGCAACGTCCAGGTACACGGTCAATCAGTCTGACAATGCTTCTATGCAGAGGAGATCTACCTTGACCATGCCGGAACCACCCTCCCCCCCAAATCGTTGATGGACAGCTTTGCGGCAGACATGACAGCAAATCTGTATGGGAACCCACACTCTGCATCAACTTCATCCCAGAGGACAACCTCAAGCATCGACGATGTTCGCCATGCCGCCCTCCGTTTCTTTGGCGCCGATCCTGCAGAGTACGATCTTGTATTTGTGGCCAACGCCACGGCTGGCATCAAGCTCGTCGCCGAGGCCTTCAGAGCCATGCCCGGAGGCTTCCAGTATCTTTATCACCAAGACAGCCATACGAGCCTTGTTGGCGTAAGGGAGGAAGCCCGAACCGAAAAATGTCTGGCAGATCAGGATGTGCAAGCCTGGTTGGAGGGCAGTACTACGCACCTTGAAGACGACTCGTCGCCAACAACATTATTTGCTTATCCGGCCCAGTCTAACATGGACGGTCGGAGGCTTCCACTAGACTGGTCGGCAAAGGTGAAGCGGTGTTCAAAACCAGCGGGAGCTCAAGTTTACACTCTGGTGGATGCAGCGGCTCTGGTGGCAACATCACCTTTACATCTAGGAGACTCCGAATCGGCTCCAGATTTTGTGGTGCTAAGCTTCAACAAGATCTTCGGCTTCCCGAACCTCGGTGGGCTCATTGTTCGGCGGCAAGCGTCTTCATGTTTCCGAAGCCGCAGATACTTCGGCGGCGGGACAGTCAATATGGTGGTCAGCATAGGAGAGTCGTGGCACAACGTCAAGGAGCGCAATCTTCATGAGGCTCTTGAAGACGGCACTTTACCAATACACAGCATCCTGGCTCTGGGTCATGCGCTGAGAATGCATCCTCAACTGTATAGCTCCATGCAAGAAGTCGCCGACCACACACGATACCTGCGTCAACGATTATTAGAACGACTAGCCGCTATGCGCCATCTCAGAAGCGGCGTACCTGTTTGTACAATATACTCACCGGTCGGTGTAGACGTTCCCGACATCGGCCCGACCATTGCATTCAACATACGGGAAGAAGCAGGGGCATGGGTTAGTACTGCGGAGTTCGAGAAACTGGCGGTCCTGAAGCACTTCCATGTCCGCACGGGTGGGCTCTGCAACCCTGGCGGTGTTGCTACGGCGTTGCAGCTTGAGCCGTGGGAGATGAGGCAGAATTTTTCGTCTGGTTTTCGGTGCGACAACGGCAACGACATCATGAATGGGAAGCCTACTGGCGTCATACGCATCAGCCTTGGTGCGATGAGCACCATGTCCGATATCAACCGCTTCGCAGACTTTGTGCAAGAGTTTTACGTCAACACGACCGTGGGGTCAACGAGCCCGGCCATATTAGCGGGTACAGTTCCAGACGGGATGTACATTGACCAACTTGTCGTGTATCCAATCAAGAGCTGTGGCGGTTTTCGTGTACATGCAGGCACATCCTGGGAACTCAAGGCAGAAGGACTGGCGTGGGACCGGGAATGGTGTTTGGTGCATCTCGGAACGGGTCAAGCGCTGAGCCAGAAACGCTATCCTCGAATGGCTCTCATAAAGCCATCGCTCGACCTCGAGAGAGGCGAGCTTCGTATCACATACACAGCCCCAAGCAACCCGCAAGACATCCAGGCTTTGACCATCCCCTTGGCAGCGGATCGGACAGCTTACAAGAAGATCCGCACCGGCTGCACCATGTCCTCCCGCGTGTGCGGCGAAGACGTGGTGGCGCAGACATATGCTTCCGAAGAGATCACCAGCTTCTTCTCCGACATCCTCGGCACCCCATGCGCCCTCTCTCGATTCCCTGCGGGCGGCTCGGGCAAGAGCATGCGGCATGCCAAGGCCCACCTCCAGAAACATCAGCGCCCAGCCGCAGCGACATCCGCAAAGGAGAAGCCCGGAAAGCCGTTGCAGGCTTCGAGCAGCGTACACGGGGACAGCGGCGGCGTGGTGACGCCCCCGGACTCTGACACAGAGGTTGAGAAGCCGAAGATTTTACTGTCGAACGAGAGTCCGATACTGGCCATTAGCCTGGCGAGTCTCGACGCCCTGAATCGCGAGATTACACGCAGCGGCCGCGGCGGCTCGCCAGTGTCGGCAGAGGTTTTCCGAGCTAACGTGGTCATCGGTAGCCGCAACCTTCGCAGCGGCGACGATGGCGACGAGGTCCGAACATCACCGGCACCAGCTTCGAAATTGCAGCCCTACGACGAAGACCATTGGTCTACCCTTAACATCGGATCTCAGGCCTTCCGCATGCTTGGGTCCTGCCGGAGGTGCCACATGGTCTGCATCAACCAGGACACGGGACAGAAGAGCGAGGAGCCGTTCATCACGCTGGCCAAGACGAGGACGTTTGACGGCAAGGTCTTCTTTGGCACGCACATGTGCTGGACGCCACCTGCAATGACCGAGAGCAGCGAAGAGGCAAAGGAGCCGGCGAGGATATGCGTTGGGGATAGAATTGTAGTGGAGTCGTGAGAGGGATAGCGTGCTATAGTTGTTTGTATACGTGTTTGAATAGCATTCCTGTGTAAATCTTTCACCTATCTGGGAGCGGCATGAGATTCAATCATACTGTTCGTAACTTAATACGATTCAATGTTGTCGACGAAATGTCCAAGCACACAAATTCACGGACACGCTGTGGAGAAACAACACAAGCACAGTCATATCAGGAACAACGTTCGCTGTGAACCACAATCCGAACAATGAATAATCTGACAGCAAAACAACTCGCAGCAAGCATAACCAATAGTAAAGAACAGCGTCACACCCTTGTTCGAAGACGAGAACTCTCACCACAACCCACATTGGCGTATATAGACAACCACACAAGAGTGAATCATCCACCCGGCATTCCTGGTTCCAGCCGGACGGACAAGATGACTCCATGAACTAGAGTAGTAAAAAGCTAACGACCCAGACGGGACTCGAACCCGCAATTTTCAGAGGATCGAACTCCGGGGAGCAAGCCCGTGTGGTTGCCCACTGAGCGAACTTGGTGTCCCCAAACCGAAATCTGACGCCTTACCATTAGGCCACCGGGCCGGGTAGAGATTAGATAAGCAGATTCTTTATCGCTGGATCTATTCTCCGGACCAGGTCGGCGGAAGGTGAAGGACAGTCAGGACTAGCTGAAGAGGCATGTTCTTGCATAATGCACATGGTATCCATTTGATGTTCGTGTAGCTTTGCAGGTGCATCTCGAAGAACTCCGGTTGTGGGGTGTACTTGGCAGTCTTCTTGGTTTTTGTAAATCAGACCTCGAAAGTCGAGACCAAGGTTGCAGTGCTCGAGAATCGGATAATCCAGTATTGCATAACTATCTCCTAGCACAGACGTACGTCCTGAGACATTGCTTTGTGGACCATTGAACACTTGTGTAATGCTAGTCCGTATGTGCAGTTCAGTGCTCATCGTTCTGAAAGAATGGTCAGTCGCAAACTGAAATTCTCCCTGCAGCACCGTTCGCAAACTGTCCGCGACTACGCAGAACCTTTGCAGCCATAGGCAGCACTAGAGAAATCTATAATAACACAATGATGATCCAGAGGTTCGCAGTAGAGAATCCCATCGAACTTCAGAGTGCATCGTGTCTCGCGGATCTCTCACCGAGGGAAACCCAATCATGCAGGCTGTCATGCACGACAGAGATGCCCAACCGTCGCACGACACAGCGCAACAGTTCACCTACATATGTCTTCCGCAAGGCGCACCAGTCCAATCATCGCGTCATGCTTTCGGGGCAATCGCGTGTCAGGTCGCATGATGCAGACGCGTCTCACGCGGGACTGCTACGATTGGGGCAGAGGCCAATGGTGCATTTTGAAGGGTTCCCGCTGTTGTTGAGTTGGCAAAGTGGAGATGGCTACGGGTAGTGGCGCAGAATTGCGTGGCTGTCTCGACTGTCTCCCACAATGATCCGCTTCAGGCGCGGACTAAGCTCGAATGACAGGCGAGAATGTTCGACGATGGGGCTCCCCACTCTGCCAGCGAACCGTGGTCATGAACACAGTCATCTCGCCTGATCTCGGCTTCTATGCCTGGCGAAACAAAGAATATAACGAAGTGACCTATCCGAGCTAGTGTGTGCCTGGCATCAAAGTTCGTCACGACGGCCGGGCAGCGGCGAGGCGTCTCGGGACACGGGCCTGATCGTAATAAGCTTGCAGGAGCAGCTCACGATGCATGCCGTGCGAGCGGGTAAATCCTGCATGGCATCCCCTATAAGCGTCTTCTCAGGCAGACTGCCTCGCTCGGCTTCCTGCAGTCTGGGTCACGAAACAGCCCTGTAATTTCAAGCAGAGGCAGGTGGAATGATCTGCCTCATGTAACATCTAATGTCGCATCTGGCCAGCGTGGCTCGAGTGACGGCCAATACCGGGCAAATGTACTGAGGGAAAGTCAATTGAGGCGATTGAGAGGTCGGCTGGCCCCATATAAGAGATGAGCGGTGAAGGATTGGCAATGGCTGATTTGGCGGAGGCAGGAACTCGGACGTGCGAGATCCGCAGGAAACAGCCAGTGATTGTCATGCTGACTCTAGGGAGGGTCCTCATACCGTCGACAGCCTGCAGGGGACCCTCCAGGTGTGAACCTCAACCCGAACCCAGCCGCTAGTTACCCTAGGATAACGGATGGGCAGATGGCCAGCCTGAAGAAATGTCTCGACTGGGGTGTGTCTGTAGGGCGACAAACTCGGCTGCTGCATTGGACTGATCGGCGTCGAAAGCGATGTGAGGGCTAAAATACTGGTGAGGCGGAGCGAGTGTCCGCAGTAACGATTATGCTTAGAGGAGGCCCGTGGAGGAAGATGAACGGGCTGGAGAGAGCGCAAGAGTTGTGAAGTCGGCCAAGAGGTCGAGCGCATGACGCTGTCTCAATGTGGTCCGTCCTCGATACTCCGGAGTCGCGTGCCCCCGGCCTGCAGATGGGATGCTGTGTTCGTCGACGGTAGTACCTGATCCGTCCACGTACGTCCCTACTCTTCAAGCCGGATGGGACTGATGACAGCCCTGTCTCATGCCGCAGACCCTGCCCCGAGGCTAAGCTTGATCTCCATGGCGACGAGGAAGAGTCGGACCCGCTACAAGACGACGTCAATTTCGTGGTTCATGGTAGTGGGGTTCCGTGCTCCCTGTCAGACCGAGGAAAGTGCGGGAGAGCGGGTGCCCATCTCGCCTCAGGCTGGCTCAAACGATGACAGCATGGAAGCCTACGCGCAATGACTCCGGACTGAGGACGAAAACTCTCTTCTCAAGAGCAGCATCGGGGGACTTGGAGCACAGGGATAAAAAGCAATGATGAACCCTTTAGCATGAGGGGGCCTAAGGGAAAAAAAAAAAAACAAGAACTCTAGCAAGCTCGAAGCAAGGACGACTGACACTCCAAAGAGGAAGGAGGGGCTAAAGCAGCGGCGAAACCCAAGACAAGACATGCAGGCGCAGCCCGAGCCACTTGCACCGCATCCCATGGGATGGACGTCTCCTGAAGGTACGCAGTACTCCGTACAGGCGTTCTCGGCTGCGCTCGCAGATGGCGCTTTCCGCAAAGTGACCTTCACCTCGCCACTCTCACTCTCTGCTCCCGACGCCCAGCCTGTGCCAGCGAGCGCGACGGGATGCGCAGCTCTCCCTCCATCAACATGCTATGGTGCGACTGTCTGGACCCCGACAGCGCACATGACCAGCCAATGCTGCCAGTGAAGACAGACGATGCTGGCGCCTGCACGAAGGGGCGTGTGACGAGCGGAGAAGCTTGAGTCTGCCGACCAGCACAACCAATGGGGAGCCTTGACCGCAGCGACTTCTGGACTAGCTCCAGCCTCCAGCCTCCAACATTTCGATGCTGCAGGGCGATCCGCCTGCACACCTCCAGGCGCTCTCGCGAGAACACACCTCTTCACGCGCACCGATCTGTCCTCCGTTGTTGCGGCTGGCCATCACTTGACGAGGGAATATCCCGGTGCCAAAGGCGGCTGCCGTGTCAATTTAAACAACCTAAGCCCAGAGGCACAGGACTGTTGGTGGTGCTGTCTGGCGCTTCAAAAACTTGCTTGGACCAGCCCCCCCCCCCACCCCGGCTTGCCTGCCACCCACTTGCTCCCATCCATGCACCCCTCCACACCTGGACACTCAAAGCTGGGCCGCCTGCCACGAGCCCGACAGGGTCGCTCGTCCTTGTCGAGGGCTTGTATCGTGCTGTATCCCTCCCGCCGTGCATTAGTTCCGTCCTGCATCCCAAGGGAGGCAGACAGACGCCTGTGTTGTTGTTCTCGCTATTTGCCACGGTCAAGACGTGTCTTGCTGCGGAACATAAGCGTAGGCCTCTTGCTGTACCCATCTGTAGACAACACTCCCGCGACGAATCAGCCAAGAGCAGCCAGCAACAGCACAAGGACAGGCCGCATGGGCTTTCATGCAGCTTTCAGTCACCCGCCTCAGCACTCGATACCCTTTCCCTCTTCCCGACGCCTCTCCGATTGGATTTGCAAATTTTCTGCATCTGTCTTGTCTCTTTCCTTCTTGCGCCCGTCAAAGCTGTATTGGTCAATCCGATAGCCTTTGTTGAGGTCCGAAACAAGTCGAAAAGTCGGTCACGATCCGATATCACCCACAGCGCACGGCAACAACCACGATTTGCCGGGACAGCATTTGTCGCACCGAGCCCAGATGCCTCGAGTCTCTTCGTCAGAGCGACTGCGCAACTGAGACACCTGCGCCGGCAGGTTTGCGACCTGCAACTCGACAGCACGATCCCGGTTGGCGACAACTTCCACGCCGCTGCGTTCATGGTGCGCGCGCTCGACAGCGCCGTCTCGAGCTTGATCTCCCAGCATGGCTGCGGTCGACGTTTTGGGGTTTGCCCCGTCCGGGCTAGGGAGCAGTTTTGGCTCGCCAACGGTGCTGTCTCTGGTGGGCGCAGCCGCCGCTCCAACGACGCAGTGGGAGGAGCATGAGTTGGAGACACGCCTAAACCTAATTGCCTCGGCCTGGATCTGGTTGAGACGCAACAATGGCCTTGTAAGTCCAGGTTTTGCTGTGCCTGCCTTTGTTCTCTTTTTTTGTGGTAGGAGCTGTGAGATGCAGGCCGGGTCCACGATGGGGCTGCAGCAGCATTCCAATTGCCAGCCTCTCCTTCGGCACACAACCCTCTAGGGGCCCTGTCAAGCTAACACTGCCTCCCCTTTTGCCAGACCACCACCCGATTCCGCCACCCATCTCAAACCGCCTGCCTACGGGCTGCATCTCGCCCGCTCATTGTGCCAGACGCAACGCCCAGGCGATCACGACGCATTCCCAAGTCATGCGATTCCCAGAATCCCGTAGGCGAAGCGCCTCTCGACCCCTCCACCACTAGTGACGTCGTGCGCTCGCACGACCCCTCTGACCATCACCAGCCACCCAAATCATCGATTCATCGCAAGCCAACCCCCCAGACCCCGGACTCCTTGTTCTCCGATCCAATCATGGACTGGAAAATCGACTTCGGATCCAACCAGGGCTTTGTCCAGCACGCCAAGAAGAACAAGAAGCCCGGCAAGCCTGCTGGGGGAGCCCCTGAGCCGGAGAAGAAGAGCGACGACACTGGCGGCGGCAACAACAACAACAGTGCCGGAGGCAACGGAAACAATGCCAATGGCAGCTCCGGCAAGAATGGCAGTGGAGGAGGTGCAGACGACGGCAACAATGACCCCTGGGGTAGTCTAAGCTCGGCCAGCAAATCTAAACAAGAAGACCTGCTGGCCGGCAGCACCCCAAGCAACTTCGACGCTTTCCAGGATATCAAATTAGACGATACAGCGCCATCACTGGGCCTCAGCTTTGGGACTGTTGGGGGTGGATCAGGATGGGGCGGTAATACTAATACCGGCGGCGGCGCATCATGGGATTGGGCAGGCACCACACCCGGCGGCAAAGCTAGCGACAAGAAAGAGGATGCTGCGGATAACCCCTGGAGTGCGGATAAGCCAAAGACCAAGAAGAAGACGAATACAGGTTTCGGCTTCGGATCGTTCGACGAAGACGCCGCTGGAGCGGAAGAGAAGA